AAAGAAATCAGTTTTGTCACAAGGCACCAGCATGCTTTTAGTATGGGAAAATCTTGCTTGACAAACTCGCTGGAACTCTACAACAAGATGACAGAAATCAAACAAGAGAGAGAGAGGGATGGGCAGACTGCATATTCCATGATTGTCAAAAGGCATTTGATACGGTCCCACATTAAAGACTCCTACTCAAACTAAAAAAGCAGGCTGGCTTTGTATTTGGAAAAGTATTTGGAAAAGTTCTAAGTTGGGGTCAGAGAGTATCTCTCAGGACTGACGCAAGGGGTTACGATGAGAGCTCCTTCATATCAATGTTTACAGATGATGCAAAACTAATGAGAAGAACCAGGTAAGGGGTTAGATTGTGATGCAATGCAAGCAGATTTAAACACACTTCAGAAGTACTCTAAAAAATGGCTGATAGAATTTATCCCAGCCAAATCAATCTTTATTCAAATTAATGAATGTACAAAGAACATAAGGATAATGTACAATTGTTGGGACAGGAGTTACACATACTAATGAAGCCACCATCACGCAAATCGTTTCGGGCAAGAACAAGTGTAAACATATGTAAAGTTATGTGAACTTGAACAGAAATGCGAAGACGAGTTCAGCAGAATAAGATGAATGGAAGAACAATTCCTTAATCAGAATAGGAGAAAGACCTGAAAGTGGACAAAACCTCAAACCTGATACCAGAGCCCACATTAGCCAAGCAACAACAGCGGCATATGGCATACTGGCCAACATCAGTGTATCCTTCAGAAATCTGGGGAAAAGGACTTTCCAGGCTCATAGCGAAGGTGAGACTCGCTTTTGAATATGCATCTCCCAGCATAGAACCCTTACCTGATAAAGGACAAGGACAAACTAGAAATGGTCCAAAGATATGCAACAATATTCGTTCCAGAGTTGAGAGGCTTGACCTATGAAGAAAGACAGTGCACTGGACCTTACCATGCTAGAGGAAAGGAGAGATATGGGGACACATAACAGCGTATAAGATTCTAAGAGAAACTGACAAAGTAGATAAAGTAGAGTTGTTCATATCTAGTAACAGCAGAATTAGGGGTCAAAAATAAAAAGTAAAGACGCAAATGAGTCATAGAGACATCAGGAAGAACTTTTTCAGTGCTAGAGCTGTCAATCAATGGAACAGGTTAGACGCAGAAGTCGTTAAAGCTAATTAGAATAAAAAAAATTTAATATAATTATGATAAAAGAGTGAGAAATGAGTCATTACATTAATCTAAGAACGATCAGAAGGCGGGGCTAGGAGCCTAGCTTCACCCTACAAGCACATCTAGGTGAGTACAAACACAAACATCCCCGTACTGAGAGAGGTGGCGGTAAACCAAGCAACTTTGGAGGAATTTGAGCTCACCAGTGATGAGGTCAAAAGGAATCTGTTGGAGTTGAATGTGATAAAAGCTGTTGGGCCCGACAGAATCTCACCTTGGATACTAAAAGAGGGTGCAGAAGCACTAAGTGTGCCATTCTCTATTGTGTATAACAGGTCACTGGAAACAGGAACCCTACCGGAAAGCTGGAAGACAGTTAATGTAATCCCAATATACAAAAAGGGTGACAGGTAAGAAGCACTGAACTACAGGCCACTTTCCATAACTTGTATACCATGCAAGGTGATGGATAAGATCATGAGGAAAAGGCTCGTAAAACATCTGGGGAGAAATAGCTTCGTAACACACTACCAGCATGGGTTCAGGGATGGTAAATCGTGTCCAATGGGCTTAATAGAATTCTATGACCAGACGACAAAAATTAGGCAAGAAAAGAAGGGTGGGCAGACTGCATTTTCTTAGATTGTCAGAAAGCCTTTGACACAGTCCCCCATAAGAGGCTGTTATAAAATTTGGAGAAAAGGCTGGAGTAAAAAGAGTAAGGTGCTCCAGTGGATTCAAATTCAAATGTTTATTCAGGTAAAAGTACATAAATAGAAGATGAGATACAAACATAATGTTGGATTTATAGATAGAGCTAGTACATACAATACCTAAAGCCACTAATACGCAGAGCGTTTCGTGCAAGGAGTGGGGCAAAAATCACTTGGGCTAAAACTTATACTAATTGAGATTAAAGTATAAATTGTGTTAAAAAAGGAAAAAATGGAGAGGGGAACATGGCAGAAATCAGCAATTATACAAGTTGGTCAACAAACAGTATTGTTTGAAAATAGCAAGATATGGGTTGACATTTAGGGTGTAAGGTAGGTTACATGGAGTTTATCAGGTAGTACTTAGTTTTTCTCTTAAACTGGTTGAGAGAGGTACAGCCTTTGACATGATTGGGAAGGTCATGCCACATTCTGGACCCCTTGATTTGTAGAGAATTTCTAGTTTGGTTAAGCGCACTCTTGAAATATAAAATAGGTATTTGTTTCTGGTGTGGTGCCCATGGGTTCTGTTACAACATTCTAGGAAGCGTTTAAGGTCAGGATTGATATTACAGTTCAGAGTTTTAAATATATAGAGTACACTTGAGAGGATGTACAGTGACTTAATATCTAACATATTCAAAGATTTAAGTAAGGGTACCGAGTGCTGTCTGGGGCCAGAGTTTGATATTATTCTAAGCGATAAGGGAGTATCTAAGCGACAATAAACCGCGAATAACTGTGAGGGGGAAGACATCAGAGTGGCGAGATGTCACCAGTGGAGTCTATATCCATCCTGTTTCTGATATATGTAAACAATCTTCCAAAGGGTATAGGCTTACTCCTCTCAATGTTCGCTGATGATGCAAAAATTATGAGAAGAATCAAGGCAGATGAAAACAGAGACTACAGGACGACCTGGGCAAACTAGATGAATGGTTTAGAAAATGGTTACTGAAATTTAACTCAGGAAAGAGTAATGAAATTAGGCGAAAGGAGCAGGAGGCCGAACACAAGGTACCATCTGGGAGGTGAAACCCTGCAAGAAACAATTAGAGAGAAAGATCTGGTGGTTGATATCACACCGAACCTGTCCCCAGAATCCCACATCAAGAGGATATCATCAGCGGCATATGCTAGATTGGCCAGCATAAGAACTGCCTTCAGAAATGTGTGTAAGGAATCATTCAGAACCTTGTATACGCCTTATGTCAGACCAATTCTGTAGTATGCAGCTCCAGCCTGGAGTCCATACCTAGTTTAACACAAGACAAAGTTAGAGCATATTCAGTGGTATGCCACCAGATTAGTCCCAAACTGAGAGGTATGAGCTACGAGGAAAGGCTACGGGAGCTAAACCTCACGTCCCTGGAAGACAGAAGAGTAAGGGAAGACAGGATAACCACCTACAAGATTCTCAAGAGGAATAGGTTGAGCCAATCAAGATTCCCAGGTTGGTCAAGTGGTTAAGGTACCAGATGCGCCAGTTGCATAGTGCCCCTGGCTGTCTGGGTTCGAGTCACTTCTGGGGTGTGGAGTTTTCAGTTTATTATATATATATATATATATATATATATATATATATATATATATATATATATATATATATATATATATATATATATATATTAGTATATTTTGGTAGCAGTCTTTCCTGTAGACATATATTATTAAATATGACCGAAAAAGTAAGATTAATAATTCTAACACGAATTTTCTCAATCTTTCGTACATTACGCTTCACTGTTGGAGGTAAATCAAAAATCACTTCTCCAAAATTCATTTTTATTTCTAGTCTGACGCGACACGGGCGCGTTTCGTAAAACTTATTACATTTTCAAAGACTTCACAAATATACAACTGATTAGAACTTACGTCTCTCTGATATTATATCTACATTTGAGTGAGGTGGGAAGGGTGATGTGGCATAACACAAGACAGAACAGGAGGGGATATTAATAGGGTATTAAAAGTATCAACACAAGACAGAACAGAAACAATGGGTATTGAATAGAAGTGTTTGTAGAAAGCCTATTGGTCCATATTTCTTGATGCTTCTATATTGGAGCGGAGTCTTGTGGTGGGTAGAATATAGTTGTGCAATAATTGGCTGTTGATTGCTGGTGTTGACTTCTTGATGTGTAGTGCCTCGCAAACGTCAAGCCGTTTGCGAGGCACCGCAAGCCGCCTGTCTGTTACAACACAGACAGGCGCAACGCAGGCGGCTTGACGTTTGCGAGGCACTACACATCAAGAAGTCAACACCAGCAATCAACAGCCAATTATTGCACAACTATATTCTACCCACCTCAAGACTCCGCTCCAATATAGAAGCATCAAGAAATATGGACCAATAGGCTTTCTACAAACACTTCTATTCAATACCCATTGTTTCTGTTCTGTCTTGTGTTGATACTTTTAATACCCTATTAATATCCCCTCCTGTTCTGTCTTGTGTTATGCCACATCACCCTTCCCACCTCACTCAAATGTAGATATAATATCAGAGAGACGTAAGTTCTAATCAGTTGTATATTTGTGAAGTCTTTGAAAATGTAATAAGTTTTACGAAACGCGCCCGTGTCGCGTCAGACTAGAAATAAAAATGAATTTTGGAGAAGTGATTTTTGATTTACCTCCAACAGTGAAGCGTAATGTACGAAAGATTGAGAAAATTCGTGTTAGAATTATTAATCTTACTTTTTCGGTCATATTTAATAATATATATATATATATATATATATATATATATATATATATATATATATATATGTATATATATATATATATATATATATATATATATATATATATATATATATATATATATAAATGGAAATGTCTTTTCGAGGTCGGAGACGAGAGGAGGGGTGGGTAGGGATATGGGAGAGAGGGGAGGAGAGGGGGGAAGAGATGGGGGTGAGGGGAAGGATAGGGAGAGGGCGAAAAACAGAGAGGGGAGGCAAGACGGGGAATTAGGAGTGGCAAAAATAGTGGGATGGAATGCGGGTTGGGGGTAGGATCTATCCTGAGCATCGCCGGATACTCTTCCTAGTAAAACTATATTTGAAAAAGTACAGAGGTGTGTAGCAAGACTGGTGCCACA